TGTAGATTGGTAACGTCATGACACAACGTTGTGGGAAGGTTGTAGATTGGTAACGTCATGACACAACGATGTGGGAAGGTTGTAGATTGGTATCGTCATGACACAACCGTGTGGGAAGGTTGTAGATTGGTAACGTCATGACACAACGTTGTGGGAAGGATGTAGATTGGTATCGTCATGACACAACGTTGTGGGAAGGATGTAGATTGGTATCGTCATGACACAACGTTGTGGGAAGGATGTAGATTGGTATCGTCATGAAACAACGTTGTGGGAAGGATGTAGATTGGTAACGTCATGACACCACGATAGGGGATGGATGTAGATTGGTAACGTCATGGCACAGCGTTGTGGGAAGGGTGTAGATTGGTAACGTCATGACACAACAGTGTGGGAAAGTTATTGATTGGTAACGTCATGACACAGCGTTGTTTGTAGATTGGTAACGTCATGAGACAACGTTGTGGGAAGGATGTAGATTGGTAACGTCATGACACAACGATGTGGGAAGGATGTAGATTGGTAACGTCATGACACAACGTTGTGGGAAGGTTGTAGATTGGTAACGTCATGACACAACGTTGTGGGAAGGATGTAGATTGGTAACGTCATGACACAACGTTGTGGGAAGGATGTAGATTGGTAACGTCATGACACAACCGTGTGGGAAGGATGTAGATTGGTAACGTCATGACACAACGTTGTGGAAAGGATGTAGATTGGTAACGTCATGACACAACGTTATGGGATGGATGTACTTTTTTCACTGTTCAGCTATAGCTTCAGAAGTCACATGACCAAAACAACATGCAAATTGAGGAATAAACATTGAAGTGAATTTCTGCTTTGTTTCTTATGTACTGTTCACTACTGGGGAAACTATTCAACTATTAACGTTAAGACAATGTAAAATACCTTAGTGAGTGAGTTTAGTTTTACGCCGCTCTCAGCAATATTCCAGCTATATGGCGGCGGTCTGTAAATAATCGAGTCTGGACCAGACAATTCAGTGATCAACAGCATGAGCATCGATCTACGCAATTGGGAACCGAAGACGCAATTCAGCGAGGATACCGATGACATCTTGTCAACCAACTGAAGATCAATATTCTAACCCGGATCTTCACGGGTAGTAAAATACGTTAGCATCAAATAACTTTAACCTGTCAGGCCACAACGTCAGGCCACAACGTTGTGACAACGAAAGCATAACGTTGTGACAATGTGAAAGTGTTCACTGGGCGGTATGTAAATAATTGAGTCTGGAAAGGACAATTTTGTGACCAGCATCATGAGCATCAATGTTAATGTTCCACGATGTCGCAGCAGTGGCTTGGGATATATTCGCATGGTTACACTGTGTTTAGCTAGCTGTAGATAACGCTCTTCGTTATATTGATGGGAAAATCGTCGTACACTATAAGCATATTTCATAAATTCTACCCTTATGGGCTGCAAGACTATGACTATACTATGTTATGAGACCACCTTCTAAAATCCCACCCGTGAATACCCACATATATTCGAAAACATGGTAAGTCACGCATGAGTATTCCATACCTGTTTCATGTAACTGGGCTGAACATGACGTATTGTTTCAGGCGTATATGTGAAGATCAAGATATGGGCATAACCGTTTTCAATACTACACAGCTGTTTTAGTCATTATCTGCAACTAACGACCGTGCACAGCATGGAACCATGTGCATATTGCACAGCTGATGTCAAATATATTTCTTTGAATGGTGACATCACTGGAAATAGAAGTAATTACGAACCCTCGTCTTTAAAAATAAGCTTAAACACTGTTTCCTGAAGAACGATATCAGCTACTGGCGACGCATTCATTATGGCGAGGTTTAAAAGAGATCTATGGCGACGGATGTCAACTAATTGCGTTGGGTATTACAGTTGATTTTTGTTCCTTTGATATAAAGAAGGCGCGCTCAACTTAGACTCAACAATCGAACATGATTTGACTCAAAGATTCAAAGTGTGTCCTTCACCACCGATAGCAGGAGAAAGCGCAGATATATCGTGGCACGGCCGAGGTCTTCTAGTTGAAAGACCTCTGTTGCGACGGGCGTTGCTATGAGGGTGTTCTATGAATCTTAGGAGCAGTTGAGGGAATTTGCCGCGGCAGTCGGCAATATGCCATCATATCACGGTGGTCTAAATAACCGGTTTGAACTCAGGTTAAGTGCTGGTTTACAGTAGGATGAATCATGATGAGCGAAGATGGAAGCGTTAAGCCGAGTCATAGTTTCAGGAAGTTACAGAGATTATACAATTGTATTAAAAGTCATTGCATGTCGTCCGAAAATGTTTTTTTTCCAAAAACAAAACGAAAGTTGATTTTGACATGATTTATGATTTACACAAAATGTAAGGAGAATCCGAAGTTTTGCAAACCCGTGAGGAGTGAGTGAGTGAGTGAGTGAGTGAGTGAGTGATGTCATGCCGTCAGTGATGGAGACGGAAGATACACAACACTTCCAGGAAATCCACCAAGTAATACTGATCATACAAGGAGTGAGTGAGTGAGTTTAGTTTTACGCCGCACTCAGCAATATTCCAGCTATATGGCGGCGGTCTGTAAATAATCGAGTCTGGACAAGACAATCCAGTGATCAACAGCATGAGCATCCATCTGCGCAAATGGGAACCGATGACATGTGTCAACCAAGCCAGCGAGCCTGACCACTCGATCAAGTTAGTCGCCTCTTACGACAAGCATGGGTTACTGAAGGTTCATTCTAACCCGGACTTTCACGGGTCGATCATACAAGGATCATACCTATACACAATGTAGAACTCGAACCCGCGATCAGAGGATCCTGACTCACATGAGGAACGTAGTTACGCACAGACATTGGCGATCATCGGAATTTCCACAATGTCACACTGGTAGCTTGCATAAAATACATCAGAAAGATTCCCATGGTCTGTATACCGTGTGGTACACATAGCCTGTATTCAGTGTGTCCTGTATGGTCTGTATACCGTGTGGTATACATAGCCTGTATTCAGTGTGTCCTGTATGGTCTGTATACCGTGTGGTACACATAGCCTGTATTCAGTGTGTCCTGTATGGTCTGTATACCGTGTGGTATACATAGCCTGTATTCAGTGTGTCCTGTATGGTCTGTATACCGTGTGGTATACATAGCTTGTATTCAGTGTGTCCTGTATGGTCTGTATACGGTGTGGTACACATAGCCTGTATTCAGTGTGTCCTGTATGGTCTGTATACGGTGTGGTATACATAGCTTGTATTCAGTGTGTCCTGTATGGTCTGTATACCGTGTGGTACACATAGCCTGTATTCAGTGTGTCCTGTATGGTCTGTATACCGTGTGGTACACATAGCTTGTATTCAATGTGTCCTGTATGGTCTGTATACCGTGTGGTACACATAGCCTGTATTCAGTGTGTCCTGTATGGTCTGTATACCGTGTGGTACACAAAGCCTGTATTCAGTGTGTCCTGTGTGGTCTGTATACCGTGTGGTACACATAGCCTGTATTCAGTGTGTCCTGTATGGTCTGTATACCGTGTGGTACACATAGCCTGTATTCAGTGTGTCCTGCATGGTCTGTATACGGTGTGGTACACATGGCCTGTATTCAGTGTGTCCTGTATGGTCTGTATACCGTGTGGTATACATAGCCTGTATTCAATGTGTCCTGTATGGTCTGTATACCGTGTGGTACACATAGCCTGTATTCAGTGTGTCCTGTATGGTCTGTATACCGTGTGGTATACATAGCTTGTATTCAGTGTGTCCTGTATGGTCTGTATACCGTGTGGTACACATAGCTTGTATTCAGTGTGTCCTGTGTGGTCTGTATACCGTGTGGTACACATAGCCTGTATTCAGTGTGTCCTGTATGGTCTGTATACCGTGTGGTACACATAGCCTGTATTCAGTGTGTCCTGTATGGTCTGTATACCGTGTGGTACACATAGCCTGTATTCAGTGTGTCCTGTGTGGTCTGTATACCGTGTGGTACACATAGCCTGTATTCAGTGTGTCCTGTATGGTCTGTATACCGTGTGGTACACATAGCCTGTATTCAATGTGTCCTGTATGGTCTGTATACCGTGTGGTACACATAGCCTGTATTCAGTGTGTCCTGTATGGTCTGTATACCGTGTGGTACACATAGCCTGTATTCAGTGTGTCCTGTATGGTCTGTATACCGTGTGGTACACATAGCCTGTATTCAGTGTGTCCTGTATGGTCTGTATACCGTGTGGTATACATAGCTTGTATTCAGTGTGTCCTGTGTGGTCTGTATACCGTGTGGTACACATAGCCTGTATTCAATGTGTCCTGTATGGTCTGTATACCGTGTGGTACACATAGCCTGTATTCAGTGTGTCCTGTATGGTCTGTTCCACATACGTCTCATATGTTGTATGTTGCATCTGAATAATTCAATAATTCATTTCACACACGCACACGCACACGCACACGCACACGCACACATAGAAATAGTTCCTCATGACCCGCGTACTGTTCTGATGGTTGCCTCGTATATATGATCTTCAGAAACTCCTCTTCATTGTCATTTTTTTAGAATTATCAGCGCCATACAGTGTGTGTTTTCACCATGTATAACCCCCATGACCTACATCTGTCATTGTTTATAATTTCCCCAGCACAACACACCAGAACCGTGACATAAACACATTATTTGCACATTCCACCATTCAGCTGGCGAATCATCCTATCTCCTACACCTTTCACAAACACTGATGTTACGGCAAGCATCAACAAAACAATACTTTCCAATATTCCAAAACGTAGTGTACAATAAATTTGTGTTTTTCCAATGAACCTCCCGGCACCACCTGTTATCACTGCAAAAACGATGCTGTCAATATCGGCAACCATACCAACTAGCAACAGCTGGTACATGAGATACATCTCACTGTGGACGTTCACGAGCCTTTGTTTCAGAGGATTTGGGGACCACAAAGGCTTGCTGTTACAGTTCATGTTGAATGATTTCAATATACAGATAGAACCATTCAAGAATCAATACAGGCGCCTAGTAGGACAGTTTCAGTGCCTGGCATGACACATGACTTGTTCCTGAAGGAAATACCGGACAGTACAAGCCATTTAATGTTGTCCAAAGGACCATTTGTCTTGAACATTCCAAAACAGGAACGAGCTGTTCATGTGAGGTTTCTCTGCTTTTAAGGGAGTTATTGAAGGTGTGGATGCCAGTGGAGAGAACAAAAATCGTGAGTATATACTTTCCGAAAGTGTCTTATATGACGTCATCATCCATCACATTGTCCAGATGTCGGTAATACTCGTAATTTGGAACACTGTCTCCAACGCCCCTCGTTTTCATCCATTATACACTGGATTGATTTTGTACGCTTGAAGTTAGATATTCCTGAAACCACCTTTAAGTATCAACTAGAGTATTTAATTAACGTATATTAATATAAGTATGTCGTTTTAATAATCTGTGAGTACGTTTGAGTGGAACCGTGTGGTACCTTGCTATTTCTTTACTAACTATAAGTATACGAGATGTCTGTGAGTTATAGTTACGATAATGATAATATCAAATTTCCGATAAGAAGTTGAACAAGAAATGTACAACTCAAACAGACAGACACAGAGCAGACCCACATTGCGGGAAAATAAACACCACCGTCTCGATAGTCGGTGTAATTCGTGAAGAAACTACCGACTCGAATAATGTCTTACCCTGGTTTTCTGCCGAGGTAATAGTGTCTCAAAACTAGCTAGTTCTACAATTTGGTTGTCTAAAGTCTTAAATTTGACAAAAATGTACATTTCGCTTCATTTAATTGTTTCTCTTTTTCTTGCTCAAACTTGCGTAATGATACCACAGAGAACGCCAGCAATTTGACAGCTTTTAACTCTGACTGGTTTTTACTAATATGTGCACAGTCGGTCAGCTACCACGCTATTTGTTCAATTCTTGATAGGCCCTGTGTGGTAGCACTTCCTGTCACGCGCAGAACGGCGGCACCGTAGGTAGTAATCTTTTCCGAATTAATTGCTGTCATTTCCAGTAAAATAACCGTACTGACAAATAGGGGTGAATTATGTTTTCCAGCTGTCTGTTTTTGAGTCGACGTTGTTTATAAGCTGGCAATAACTGGGAAACTAATCGCTAGGAGAAAGTTTGAAAGTAAGCAATGCACAAAACCGCTGTGCTACCAGTGTGATAAATGGATTGTACTTGTGCCTGTGGCTAGCTGGAGTGTGATTGTAATGAAATGTACCGAGGGTCCTTCTCTTGCACACGTCCTAAAACATGCCCCAGCAATTACCGTTCATACTGCGTCATTATACGGGAAATGGCGTTATGACGAGTGTGGTGTTATAGCAGGTTGGAAGTATAGCGAATCTGGTGTTATAATGAGTTTGATATTACATCCAAGCGGTTGTCACAATAACTGGTTATGATCTGCAATTACTGGAATCCAATATAAAGAATCCGGACTCAAGAAATCGCGTATATCATGAAAGCTTTAGGCTGTTTCTGCGGTGGCTGTTTTACTCCCGTACATGAAAAAAGCGCATGGCGGAGGTACGAACCGCATTATAACGGTACTGATATAGTGAGGGTTTTACTAAACCTAGCGTCTTATGAATATTTGTCTTGATTGTCAAGACCCTCCGTCTGGCAGTAAAATGTATGTTGTTTGTCATGTGAGTCATGTGCTGTCTCGTCCAGATGTGCAAGATGCATAATTAAATAGATATGTGCATGCTTGATTGTGTTATGCTTACGCCATAAATGTTTTGTTTTTAAATTAGGAATGCCTGTACAAACGAAATCTCACAAGAACACGAACGTGCTTCTCATGTTTGTCGAGAACATCGAGGGATTTGTAAAAACTGGCCGTATGACAAGAATGACTTTATGACAGGCTTCTTTCTGGTGAGAAATAGTGTGAGAGGACGTATAGGAAGAGTGGCATTAGAGTGGCGGTGTCGGGTCCTGTGCATAGAGTTCAGGTCACAAATCAGTTGAAGTTTAGCAAAGTTTGGCAACTTGACTGCTGGAAGTTTCTAGGACATCAGTCCTACTCCACAACGAAGCACGTGTGATACATGTGGTCTCACCTTAGGATGGTGAGTTTGTTCAAAATTGCCTCTGTTCACCCAGCAGAAAAAAAGCTACCCGGTGGGATAAGTCATGTGGCTATTAACGTTCTAGCGCCTGACATGCAGCTTGGGTTAACCGGGGTAATGATAGTCAGATTATATTTGTGCGCTTTGAGCAGGATATGAAGCCTGGAAAGACGCGTTATAAATATTCTACATTATTATTACAGGGATCAGTAGATGGTAAGAACATTCGGGTAATACGGAAAGAAGTAGAGCAAGTGTGGTATTATAACAACGCATAGTTGAGTTAGGAAGCCATCCTGGAACAATGTGACGGCTACGTTTCGCACTGTAGGGCGTTTTAAGATAGTTAAACATTCTGCTGACTGAAAAACAATCATCGTATAAGACGAGAATTGTATTTAGCGGATGATGCAGAATCAATTGCCAATGCTTCACTGGCGTTACACGAAGACAGACATCGCTGTTCGAAATATTTACGTTCAAAAGTATTTTTCACCAACACAGTAATTCGTATTCAATTATAGATCAACAAGCGCAAATTGTTATTTATTGATCAACGGAAGATGATAACTGTCGATATTTCTTTCGATATTTACAAATGATAAAGTTGTGACCCATGATGACAGGCAATGTCATGACAACTTCTGGTAATTCTTGGAAGTTGTTCTTGTATTGGATGTGCATTATGACTCCAAACAGGCCAGTGTGGCACCAAAGTTCTATTGGATGGCAACAATCACACAATCGGGGTCTCCGCTAATCGATGTGAAGTTGGTTGACACTATATCCAGCTAATCGAGTAAACGAATTAGCTATTTTCACCACTTTGTATCCGCGCTGACAGGAGACTGGCACCGAGTGCGTAATTACCGGAAGAAGACGGAAAACAATAAGCACTAACTGTTGGAAAAACTCAAATTAATTAAGCCTTGTTGTCAAGAAGCTGGATTCCACCAAAATGGTCTGTGTAGAAGCGTTGCTCAGACGAACAACTTGTTTGGAAGTCTTTCAAATGTGTGACAAATATTTGACCTTCCTGTTTTTCACGCAGCAAAGAAACACCTGCTTCCGGATCCGCTGATTTGAGTCACTAGCGCACTGCGGCATACAACCGATGTATGCAGGCGAACTAGATACTAATTATGTTCAGCTGGCACCTGGGACCATTGTTACTTCTACCTGAAACGTAATGTTAGCGATTCTGCCTTGTATGTAATGTATGGGTCAAAAACACTTATTTCTGGAATCAAGTGAGACTTTTCAACCTTTGACATATTCCTGCTAGTTACATTGCTATGTTTTACCATTTTCAATCATTAAGTGAAATCTATGTTATTCTTGTCAGGAAAGTGTGTTTTTTAAAACATCGTATACTTGTATTCGATTTATGATGCGTTCAAATGTTAGGTTTATCAGTGGGATGATAAATCGAGTCGGTTGCAACATGCGACGTGTTCTTGGAACCCTTGGGCTCATACTGCTTGGCTGTCCTCAGCCGATCTCGGGCAATCATCACGTTCTCGCGAGACCGGAGAAGCTAGAATCTCGTGAACTGTCGTTGTGATTTGGGTAAATATTGAACATCATGCTAAACACTGTTTGTTCTCAGCACATGATAGGGAGAAGAATTATCACTGTAAATTTGATCACAATAAGTCACATAACGGTTCACCTTTGACGTTCCTAAGGTGTATAATATTAAACTCTGCAAGTATATTATTTCAGGTTAAAAGGAAATTTGACGCATTTGAGGAGATAACTATAAGAAATATGATATTCAACGTCACAAGATATCGACTCATTTTCTGTTCTTATCACGAACATATCAAACTCTGGTTAGTTTACCGATATTTGATGTTTTTAGGTGTTTTTTAAGTTTCAGTAAAAACAAGGTTTTGCAGTTTCATGACAGTTGATAGTCGTTTCTGTTGTGGATTTACGGCTTGCTCAGCTATTGCTCTAAATATGATTCCAGTGACGTATAAACTACGTATACACAGCCATTTAAAGTTTCTAAGAGGTGTAAAATAACAACTTGTACATGAGAACATGGTTACAAAGAGGATCGTGTCTTTTACGTTTGTATAAGACAGCTGAATACTATAGCAAGCAGTTCTTGTGAATTGTAGGTCGCACAGGGAAAGTTAATGACTCACCATTTGACGGAGGGAAGGAGACTGGGAGGGGGGATGGAGGGGCTGGGAATTTCCAGAGAGACTGAATATTGTTTGTAGCTACAGCGACAAAACAAGATATTTAAAAAAGTATGAGTAATGAGCAGTTTCTTTTTTCAAGCATTTTTCTTTGACAATGTATTAGATATAGGTTTTGGGATTTCGGCGTTAATCCGCTTACAAGTCCCCATTCTCAGATAAGCTTAAAATTATGGTCTTATACACAATGTATAATATATGAATATATAGCTGAGAGGGAAGTTCCCATTTAACAATATTGGCATATCATTTTCCAGTTTTACCGTTATTACTTATTATTTTTCTTTATGTTTGATAAATTGGAAATGCTATTTAGTAGTAATAAACGTCTTGTAAATGCGTCCGAAACGTAGTTTTATCAGCAAAATAATTTACTTGGTGTAAACTGGTGTAAAGGTTTTTGAATTTGCATTTCTGTTTTGGTTTCAAAATGGATCAGTCTCTAATTGATTGGAACAAATGATTAATTTTAAACAGTAGACAGAAAATTTAACAGTAGGCAGAAAAAACACGAGGATAGATACAATGATATACACGAGGATATATACAATGATAGATACAATGATATACACGAGGGTAGATACAATGATATACACGAGGGTAGATACAATGATATATACGAGGGTAGATACAATGATAGATACAATGATATATACGAGGATAGATACAATGATATATCATGAGGATAGATACAATGATAAATACAATGATATACGCAATGATAGATACAATGATATACGCGAGGGTAGATACAATTATAGATACAATAATATATTCGAGGATAGATACTCAGATATTATGAGGATAGATACAATGATAAATACAATGATATACGCAATGATAGATACAATGATATATACGAGGGTAGGTACAATGATATATCATGAGGATAGATACAATGATAAATA